ACAAGTCTTAAAACTGAAATCAAATTCCTAGTAAAACTAGGTACATAAAACGTCTTTTCTAAATGCAAAATAAAACCACTACTAAGAATTAAACTGCATGTCCCAACGGCCTCCACATGTGAACTCATCTGGCTGCCTGAATAGATGTAGTGTTCACTTCCCATTGGTTTCCTTAGGTTTGTCATACCCTGTAAGGTATTCGAAACATGAATTGTAGTACCGGAATCAATCCACCATGTATTATGATTAATATTAACCATATTAGATTCATAAACGAACGCAAGAAAATTACCTTTCTTCTCAAGCCAAGTCTTAAACTTAATGCAGTCTTTCTTCATGTGTCCCTTCTTTTTACAAAAGAAACACGCAGACTCCTTCTTTATGCCTTGCTTAGCTGTAATCTTTCCCTTTTGCTCAATGTGATCCTTTTTCTTCTTTGAAGAAGAACCAGTAGTAAGGTTCACCTTCTCACCTTCTTCCATCACTAGTCTGCCCTCCTCTTGAACACACATGGTCATAAGTTCATTAATTGACCATTTATCCTTATGTGTGTTATAAGAGATCTTAAAGGGGCCATACTGTGGAGGAAGTGTGCACAAAATGAAATGCACTAGGAAAGAGTCAGACATGGTAACTTCCAAAGTATTAAGTTGGGCCGCAATATCCCTCATGCGCATGATATAATCACGCACACCCTTAGTCTCATGGTGCCTCATGGATGAGAATTTCATAATTAAGGTGCTAGCAAGAGCTTTGTCAGAAGTTGCAAACTGCTCATCAATGGCATAAAGGAGATCTCTAACCTTAGTATGCTTATCGACAGAACCCCGAATACTAGCACAAATTTTGGTCTTTATGAACATAACGGAGAGGCGATTAGATCGCTCCCACTTTTCATAAAGATTAACTGCATCTGGAGTGCTAGTTTCAGTTATACCCGGTGGTTCGTCTTTCCGAATAGCATAGTCGATATCCATCCATCCCAAATGCAGAAGCACTCTTTCTTTCCACACCTTATAGTTATCACCCCTTAATTCAGGAATGTCACAATTGACATCAGAAATATTCCCAGGTAAAATTGCTGCAAACAAATATATATATATACATGCTTATTAACAAAATTGAGACTTAACTTTATCATGCTTTACCAATGTAAATCATGCAAAATATGAATCTAGTGACATAAAACCTGCCTGTGGGCTAAAGTCCTACTCAAATTAGATTCATAAAAATAACCATATGATGAAACTACCAAATTATATTCATTCCTTAATTCCTGTGGGTAGATTAAGGAACATAATTTTATATTTCATCCCAATTAATCATACAAATATATTCAAGTTTCCTGTGGGCATATTTAATCATATTACATACAATTAATTACAAATTAATGTCTAGTTTCCACATGTGATTCCATAAAAAATTTAAATAACTAGAGATGCTGTGGCTAATCTCTAATTACTAAAATTAACAAATCACTTGAGATAATCTTCTAATAAATTATTTATTCACTTCAACATAATAATAATGAATAACAATAATTTAATATAGAATCATGGACTAAATGTCGAAACTAGATGAAATTTATTCAATTTATTAGAATCTGAAACGTAATTCCAATCCAATTCACAAAAGTTACTCATACATCAGTAAACAAAATACCAGAACGCAAAGAAGGCACTTGGGCATGCTTACTGTACGTCAATTTCTATAAATATGTGACTACTTTATGGATGAAACATGAGAAAAGAATTGGAATAATTTGCTACTGTTAACGAAACAAATCTTCATGTCTTATTGTATCATTTTATCTTAACCATATTAAAATTATAATAAGACTACGGATTTCATAGTAAGCAAGACAGAGATAATTACAAAGCTCTGATACCAAATGTAAAACATATCACATATATTTACATGTTCTAATTTCCATATGAACATATAATAATAAAGCGGAAGCAATGTAAAACATATCACATATATTTACATGTTCTAATTTCCATATGAACATATAATAATAAAGCGGAAGCAACAAGATAAGATCGATTAATTTACCTCCAGCCATTGCTTTTGAAAACCTTAGTAGCACTTTAGAAAGCTCTAATTAATGTTGATGGTTCCAAACCCTCCTTTCACTTTTAGATGGTGTATTAAGTATGAGAGTAGATTTGGTGACCTTAATTTCATGAAACACACATTGTCTACTTATACTACTCTAGCCATCATAGAGTAGTGGACAATATAGTGAAAGAGTGGGTGGTTTCCAAAATGTGGGGGAAGATCATGGGTAGTTGCCTTGATCACTGACAACGTCTCATTAAATGTGGATCATTAATTTTCCACACTAAAATAATATAATATATTCCTATAAAAGTGGAAAACGTCTTACATATGTAACTTAAACAGAACGAATATGTAACAACTAGAGTTGCTTGCATTGCATTCAATGAACTCATTAATTGGTTTCTCTTGATACACGTCCACCTAACAAAAACACCTAATCAAACCCGTAATCTCATATTAGACTGATTTAAAACTAATCAAGAACAAATAAACATTAATCCTCCGTAGTGAATCCTTTCCATCAAGAAGCATGGAAAGGACGAACTAAAGAAGACACTGACGTCAGAGCATGAACGCAATGCACAATGAAGCTCAGTTGTGGAGAGGGTTGGGGCCTGTGGGCACCACACGCTTGTGAACTCCGTAAAGGGGATCGATGTCTTCATCATCGGATGTCAAAGGAGGAGGAGGAGGAGGAGGGTGGGGATCGGAGCTATAAAGGGCAAAATGGTCACACCAAGAATTTGGCCAATGTTGGTGATGGTGGTGATATTCGTGGCTACAGAAGTGGCTCCTGAAGGCCTCGTCAGCTTGTGGTGATGCGTCGGAGAGTCGAGTTCTTGAAGATGTTGAGAGGAGGAGGAGGAGGATGTAAGATGCTAAGGTGAGACAAGAAGAGAGCATCATGGCCCTCATCAGAGAATTCTATAGAGAGAGATTCAAGGATAGAGGGATTGAAAGAGGGGAAGAGCTTAGAGAGAGAGAGAGAGAGAGAGGGAGGGAGGGAGGGATTCAAGAATAGAGAGGATGTGGATTCGAGAACAGGAAGAATATTGAGGAGAGACCACGAGGGGCCATAAACAGAGAGGCAAGAGACCCACGAAGTTATGGGAGGGTGTTCGTACGTAAAAGTAATTGGAGCCTCTATTAAAAATTGTACAATATACAATTAAGCTATTTTAATAATAATTATTTATTATGTAGCAGATAACTACTTTTATCATCATCAGTTGATAAGAGTTTATGAAACATCTGAAGTTTATGGTATCCTCGTGATTTGAAGTCATTCTCTCCATCCAAGAAGAAGATTATGGTGACACAAATAGCTCTGACCCCATTTGTTGGAAATCAACAAAGACAAAATCAATATACTACCATAATAAAGTAAACAAGATGCTAAGACGTAAGGCCCCGTTTGGCAAAGGGTTAATGAAGAAGGGTTAAAGAGAAGGATTAATGTACTTAGCCCATTTGATAATCCGAAGGACTAAATTATTAACCCGTTAAATAAGTTTTATTTTAGCTCTTATGATCAGTTTTAGTGTTTAGGAATAACAATGATTTTGACTATTTTCTTTATAATTAGAAGGGTTAACTCTTATTCCATCTAAATAGGAGTATTAGTAAACCCCTCATTTTGAGGGGTTAACTCATTTTAACCCCTCTAGAGGGGTTAACTTAACCCTTCTATATTTTTTATGTTTGGCAAATTATGGAGGGTTAACTCACTTTAATCCTTATATAGATTTGTTGTGTTTGGCAGGTTAAGAAGGGGTTAAGTCTCCTTAACCCCTCTTTTAACCCTTTGCCAAACGGTACCTAAGAGTTTATCTGGTTCGGCTATCACCTACGACCAGATAGCAATATGCTCTTTATTGTCTATTAGATTTGGATTCTATCAAGTGTCATTTCCAGAATAAGAGAGATTATTTTTTTCAATCAGTCCCATAAAACTAGACTGTTATAGTTTATTTCTTGACCATAACGCCAACACTTTATGTAGATTCGAGGTGGAGAATTGTAGATTCGGCTAGTGTATGGAGTTGACTGCATTGGATAAGTCTAGGAGAGCTTTTGGGTGCTGCGCGGTTGACCGCAGGTGGCGCGGCGGTCGACCGCGATCGTGCACATATGCTGGGATTGGTTTTGGATGATTGGCAGTCAACCGCGGCTGGCCCAGGTAATGGAGTTTGGCTCTGGATGTTTGGCGGTCGACCGCGTTTTTTCCAGAGACTTTGGCTGAGTTCCCTGGCTTATCGCGGTCGACCGCACATGGCGTTGCGGTCGACCGCGACGCAGTTTCGGGTTTGGGTTCTGTTTCCAGACCCGTTTCGTTTGGGCTTGTTATAAATACCTAGATCTGATTTCTAGGGTTTGGGCAAGCAGGAGGTTTTGAGATTATTGAGAGGGTTTTCTTTGGGCTTCTATTTTAGGAGCATTTGGAGAGATCAAGAGTAAGTTGTTGTGGGTTTTGGTGAGAGATTTGTAACCCTAGTTTGTTCCTCTTGATTTCTAATAGTGAAAACTCCCCCCTGCCCCGTGGACGTAGGCTATTGCCGAACCACGTTAAAATTGGTGTTTGATTGTTTATGCTATTGTTTGGTTGTGGTTGTTTATCTCTCTCGGCGGTTGGTTTGGTTTCTCGAGGCACAACACTTTAGAAATTACACTCATTTCTATCTACTAATAAAATGTAGAAGTTTATTTACTCGAATGTCAAGTTTCTATTTTTTACAATATATAGTACCCCAATTAAAAGATGAAATATTCTCAAATTATCGTTCTTTTATTAGCAACTAAAAAGAGAAGTTCACAGAAATAAAGAACGAAGAATAGAATTATAGTTCAGGACTATGGGTTTTTCCTGCTCAACTAATAATATTGACGTCAAATATCTTAAGGAACAAAACTTATCATCATCAAGTAAACAAATGAGATGCGGATACAATTAACTATTTATTGCTCAACTAATTTTGGGAGATACAAAACAAAATTCAACTTCAAGACCAACATTTCCTCTCATACAAAACAAAATTCAACTTCAAGACCAACATTTCCTCTCATAAACCCTTTTACAATTGCAAAACCAAATCTTCATACAAAACTATCAATAAGTGATTTCCTCATGTCATCAACTATGGAGCTGGGCTGAGCTTCTCTAAGCTTGAACACACTCTCAATCACGGACAGCTCGGTGGCTGTAGTGTCCGATCCACAAAAACCTGTCCAATCGTTGATGGTCATCCCTGCAGCAATGACCTCGCTGCCTCTGTTGACAGTTCCAGCGACAAGAGGTACTTGAAGAAGGGTCATCCCTGCAGCAATGACCTCGCTGCCTCTGTTGACAGTTCCAGCGACAAGAGGTACTTGAAGAAGCGTTGAAAGTTCGTCTAGGTCTTCGACTGACGTATGAGGATGAACCTGTTTCAAGATGATACAGAGGAGATGCAGTTTGTTTCAAAATCCTGGTAAGTTTGGACAAATGACATAAAATTTCCCTAGGGTTTTAAAGAGGTAAATTTCATACAACCCCCTAAAATTTGATGCATTTTGAGCTAACCTCCATAAATTTTATAACTGTCCCTTATTTGCAACATACACCCCTCTAATGGCATAATGCAGGTTCCAGTTAGAGGGCCATGTTGAAATATTTGAAAATGTTTGGGGGTTTCATTACAAGCCCCAAAGATAAGGAGTTAAAGTGACATTTATAAAGGGTTTTTTCTCCTTTTGTTCTTTATTCTGTTTTTTTTGGGGGTTGTGTGGGGTAGAGTGGCGAGTATCTCAAAATAGGACAAACTTAACAGGGGTTACGTAAAAAATTACCCTTTTAAAAGTGACACTTTATCCAACTTATCATTTTCAGTTTCTATTCAAATATTCATCAAAAAATTACCCTTTTAAAAGTGACACTTTATCCAACTTATCATTTTCAGTTTCTATTCAAATATTCATCAAATTCTTCAATATAGTAATCAATTTCAATATGCTGATCATATAAATGGTTGTATGGAGTGCATAGATTGTCATATCCTCTTACCATATTTTTTTCATCCAAATTATTTTTTTTAAGATATTGAAACAAAGGGGGTCAAACTGTCACGTTTGAAACCTTGGATATTTCTGTGAATATTGCAAATATTAGGAGGATTTTCTGAAGTAGACCCAAAATAAACAAATTGTTTCCTTACCAAGCCTCCTCTGTTGGAAAATGTGCAATAACTTCCGACGAGAATGTTTCCAGCAATTGTTTGCCTAAATACTTCGACTCCGAGAATATCAGCTATGAGCTCCTCTGTTTCCCTGTCTAGATCAGTATGTGTAAGAGCTACGTGGTCATTGCAGGCAACACAATTTCCGAGAGCAGACAGTCTCTCGTCAACTCGCTGAACAACTACTTGATCAGGCAGGCAGTTCCTCAAATGATGAAGCTCTGAAGCAGAAATCAATATAAGAGTCAATAATTTGCATGATCAGTCTTTTTGACAGTATAATATTAAACATTTCGGAGAGAAACTGAACACATCAGCCAAAATTTGTAACCATCTCATTGTCCATGTTATTAAGGTTTGTCGAAGAAATTCCCAGCAAATATTTACAATAAAAGACTAAAATTCTTTAGGTATATATAAGGAATAAATAAAAGTAATAATAAATATATAAGTGAAGCATCAGAATTCAGGAACACAATGAAAAGTGCATTCAACATTTAATGTCACCCCAGATAAACACAGTTGCAAAGTTCAAACAACAACAAAGTAATTACACAAATATTGCACATAGTGTGCCGCCAAATGCCTTCTACCCACCATACTGATATATTCATGGGATTAATTTTCACTTCCCTAGCATTATACATGAAATTCTTATGGTAAGACCGTAAGAAAAATTCTGGACTAATATCTACCAGCTTGGGAGCTCAGAGGACGTATACAATGAATGGCTTGACTCTTTTTCCCCTCAGAGGGGTCTAGATCTTTTGCAAATCCAGAATTTCACTATTTGGTCCGAAGGAAAGAGAAACAACTTCTTACAGATAGGTATCTATCCTAAGAAACTGATAAAAACCCAATAAAAGTTTCATGCAATTTCTGGTAACCAATGGGCTCATCACTTGATAAAACACACAAATAGAAAGGTAAATGCGATGTGACTGTCAGGAGCTAAGTAACTTTAGAATACAAAGTATATAGTTTAGCAAAAACTTTGTGCTTTAAAAAGGTGAATGCAATGTGATCGTCTCATCGTCAAAAAGCATCCAAGACGCACCCATGAATGTTTGTCTGTGTCACTTATCCAACACAGAAAATTATGAGTGTGCCTGCCTTGTGCCTCTACATGTGCTATGTACTTTAGATATGATAAGCAAAGCTTCACTATGCTATCAACTGATCTAATATAGAAAAGAATGTGTTAATATAGGCAAGCCTCATGAGGTTGAATTCATCCCAAAGAAGTAATAACATAATGTAATTGATTGATAGTTGAGGTAGGATATAATCAGTCACAATATAACTTGAAAAACAGAGATGCATAATCAAAACAAAATGGATGCTTTATATAATCTATTATTTCTTACCATAAGCAACATGCAAACTAGAATCAAAATACAAAAAACATATTTAAAAAGCCTTTATATTTGGGATCCTTTAATGTTTTTAAAAAACTTTTTATATTTCTATATTTAGATATATAATTGAATCTCTCCAGTACTACACAGAAATTGGTATCGAATTCATAGTAGCACATCCATAAGGATTTTGAGGAGCAACTTGTGTTGTTGTATGGACTCTTTCTTGAGATGGACGAGCTAATACGTTTCAGTTCAAAAAGGATTGTCTTTCATGAAGAAAATTTTATCCACTAGTTACGGGGAAGGAGCTATCAAACTTATTAGAAAGAAAGATACATAGATGTATTGCTCTTTTACAAGAGAAATTGGGCGGTTGGTCTTTATAGTCAGCAATATAACACATTTATTTTCTAGTCTGCAATACTGTGTTTTCACACAAACAATACTACACTCATTTGTTGAAAAATGGCTATTATCAGAACAGATAGACAAAAAATAAATAAATAGATAGATAGATAAATAAATAAATAAAATCTACATTTGAAGGGATCCATCTCATAGTCACCCATTGTCACAAAGGTTTCCTAAGCAAGAAACACAAGAATAGAACTGCTTAAGTTACGCTCTACTTGCATGATTGGTGATTTCGTAGACAACACAAAAACATCATCTAAACACGATATAATCCACGAAATCAAACTTACAACCATAACCATCCTTTCCATGCCTTACTCCCATCAATGTGGTCCTCTCTTGCCAAAGATATAAGCTCATACAACTAAGAAGCTCTTCAACTCCCTAAAACCAGATAAGTCTAAAATCTATGAATACTAAGCACTACCGATAAGATTTCCTAAGGCAATTGCATCCATCACAATCACAACCTAAAAAAATTTTACATGAAAGGTTCATGTCGAACACATAATACAGTTCAGCTAAGATTTCTATTGAAAGAAGCAGCACAATCCTATTTACAGAGACAAATTAGATCCGAGTTACCCAAGAGAATTTACCTTGATCAGTGGTGTTGTGCGGCAAAAGAAGCCCATTCTTGTTCCCTAAAAAGCCAAACAAATTAGATTTATTTGCCAGGGAAAAAAACATCTTTAATAATCCTTAATTAGATTCTTACCAAATTGAACTAAAAAACACTCACCTGCACAAAGCCGGCCAATGATTCTGGTACCGGCTATTGAAGTTTTGATCACAGGGATAACATCGGCCAGCTCAGCTTCATATGCACTGTAATTAATTTTTTTAGTAATAACATAACATAAAATAATATCAAATTTAAAAATAACTAATAGATTTCGAAGAGCTAACCTGTAGAAATTCTCAGAACCTCCAATGGCAACCAAGCAGTAGGCATTGGTGAGCTTGGAGAAAACACCAACTTCGCACGAATTCTCAAATTGAACTCTGGTAGCCATGATTTCAATGCCTTGAAGCAAACCCTAGTCACCAAAATCGAAGGTCGAGGTGTAAACAAGGGTTTCAAAGATTCGGGGAATTAAAGGAGAGTTTTTTAAGGGTTCTCGGGTTTTTTTTTTCTTTTGTTCCGAGGAATCCGTCTGCAAGGATTTGGACTTTATAAGACTCCACTCGAACCGTGGAGTCCAAGAAAATAATAAATAAAAGGGTTTTTTTAATATAATTTTAAATTAAGTAATGTTTTAATTAAAATTGGATGCTTGGGGGAGAAGAAATTCAGAAGTCAGCACGTTTTATACAAAACTTTGTCAACAAGTCCAAGAAACTAGTAAAAGTGTATTTAAAATTTTGAAATTGAATAAATGCATTCCTTAGGAACTGTTTGGTTGGATGAAAATAGAGTAGTAATGGGGCGTTTGGTTCCTGTTTTTGGAGAGAGAAAGTAGGGAGAAAGCTAAAAAAATGTCAGTTTTTTGGCAGTTTTCTCCCAAAATCGTCTCTTTAAGAGGCGATTTTGGGGGAAAGCTGTCAAAAAGCTAACATTTTTGGCAGTTTCTCCCATTTTACAGCTCCAAAAAATCAATCCAAACGAGCCCTAAGTGTAAATAGACCAACCAGATTTATAAATATATTATTTAGTTTATAATTTTATAATTAGGAAAAGTAAATGGACTTGCATTTTGTAGATAAAATTTCAATAAATATTACAGCCAATTTGGTGGGACAAAAAGTTATAGTATTAAAAAAACTAAAAAATAAATATAAATTCCATCTCATAAAAAAATATTTTTAAATTCCAAATAAAAAACTACCTCCACTAAAATTTTCAAACATGGCAGAGTTATATAGCTTTTGCAATAGTTATTTTGAAACAAACACTGAATTTGCAGTGGAAATACATTTCCTAGAACATAATTGCAAACATCTAAATAGTGAATTTGAAGTTGATTTCTTACAGTAAATGGTGCATACAACATTTGTTGTTGCAACATTTGCTGTAATTTATTTTTACAGCAAACGAAACAACCCCTTAAACTAAAATGCTTGTGAAGAAATTAGCCTTATCACGACTTACCTCAAAGTTTCAACCATTTTCACTTATATACTCTTCGTCACATTTTTATATTCAATAGTTTACCACTATGGGTTATTTTGTTTGCTATAAAATTAAATTATAGTAAATGTTACAAGAATAAATATTGCATGCAGTATTTGTAATAGGAAATCAAGTTCAAATTCGTTGTTTGGGTAATTTGAAAGTATATTCTAGAAAATGCATTTCCAACACAAATTTAGTATTTGGTTGAAAAATAGTTAGTGCCAATGCTACATAATTTTGTCATATAAGAAACTTTGGTGTATGTGGTTTTCTACTTGGATTAAAAAAAATTATGAGGTGGAATTTATATTTATTTTTACTCTTCTTTTCTGAATCCTATAACTTTTCCTTCCACCAGATTGGTCATAGCATTTGTTACAATTTTTTCTCCAAAATGCAAGCCCATTTACTTTTCCTAATTACAAAGTCGCAAACTAAATAATGCAATTACGAATTTGGTTGCTCTACTTACTCTTGCATCTCTATTTCCATCCAACCAAATAGCCTCAAATCCATTAGGGCTTGTTTGTTTGCTTGGAAGTAGCTAGCTACAAAGTAACTGAAGTAAAGAAAGTAGGACCTATTTTCTTGGAACTGTGTATCATTGGTCAAGAATACAAACTGAGTAATCTAATAAAAATAAATTGAGATAAGAATTGACACAAAAAAGAGAATAAAAACAAATTATAAGATAAACATAATTGAAGAGATTTTTTTAATTATCGTTTTAGAAAAGAAAATATGAGAGAAATGGATAGTAGACATGAATAATATATTTATTTAAAAAATAATCTCCCAAAAGTAACAAATCCTTCCATCCACGACAGCTTGTAGTATCTCGGCTTATACTCTACAAACTTACTTGTCTCCAAATTCTTATAAATATTTTGTTTTTTGTTTGAAAAGCGTTCATTTCACTAGTAAAAATTCACGTATCCTAGACGGAATATTCTAGACGGAAATTTTTCCGTCTAGAATGTATTAAACTAGACGGAAAATTTCCGTCTAGAATATTCCGTCTAGGATAAAGTATTCTAGACGGAAATTTCCGTCTAGAATAGTATTCTAGACGGTTTTTTTATTTTTAATTTTTTTTTGTATTTGGAAAAAACAAAGTATATTGATCTCTTTTGCCATGCATGTCTGTCGAGTTTGCTAACGTGAATGATCTCTTTTGCAGGATCCACTGGTGACTAAAGGTGCAAACACTGCATATATGGATATTGAACTGGTGGGTGAATGCTTTGGGGTCCTCTCATCATTTGGCCAATTCTGAATCATTGTTCGACTACTTAGTTTGAAGGTTTTTATGAGCTTTGGGGGCTCAAATTGGTATTGTTTTTAGGAACTGTTGAGCAATCTAAATTTGTAAATAATTTATGTAAAAGTTTGTAAACAATTTATGTATCTCTAGTATTTTGGTAAATGTATTATTTGAATATAATTGGATTTGATATTAGAATATGTTCGCGGTGAAAATTATGTCTTTCTTCATTATTGATTTCATTGCACTCTTGTATAACAGCTTTTGAGTTACAAAAGATCCGGTCTTTTTATAAGATCCGGTTACAATGAAAATCAAAGAAAATAAAAGAAAGATTACAACTTTTTATCCTTTTGTGTCGAACAAATCGCGAGCTCCTGTTTTGCGGTCGCTCGCTTTGTGGGTTCTTTGCCTGCGCCGGGGTTTATCCGTGGACCACCGTGAGATCTAGATCCGGTCGGATCTACGCAGTATGACGGGTATTATTTCGCCAAGGAAATAATAGCCGAGGGTACTATTTCGCCAAGGAAATAGTAGCCTTTAATTCTCGGGATCAAAGACCAAGCTTTGATCCGGAGTACGCCTGCGTAGATCTGAGATCCGGTCCTCTCGAACTCTTGCCTTATTTGGCGTTGACGATCGCCGAGCACCAAATCTGGATGAGCAAGTCCTCGAAGTCCTAAAGTTTGAATCTTTTTTAGATCTGAGTCTTCAATCCAGCAGAGCTTCGCCTCCAAAAAATCCAACCTTTGACAAATGAACCAACCAAAAGCAAAAGTGCAAAAACAATACAGATCGACAATGAATAAACATAAAAGGAACAAAGATTAGAGATGCTCAATATTGTCTTTGTCGCGTCGATCTGGAATTTTCTGAAGCAGCACTCGCTGTAATGATGGTACTGGGTCGTCCGGCTCTGAGTCTACTTCGCACAGCTTCTAACGGATCGTAAAACGGAGTCTTCTACGAATTTCTATGAATTTCTGAGTGAAGGCTGCGCTTCTGCGTATTTTCTACGTATTCTGCCTGTATATCTTCTCTTTTCTGCCTCTTTGTCGAATGTCTGTAAGAGTTCCAGTGCTGCATTTATTGTCTGACCGTTGTCGGAATTTTAAACTTGAAGTCGATTCCTGATTTTCTAATCTTTGGCTGACCATCGATTGTTGGCGTTGAGTTTTTATCTGCGACGCGTTGTCCGGCGTAGTGTTGTTGAGTTATCCTTAAAAATATTCTCCAGGAACTTCTCAACCCAAAATAGGGAATAGTTTATACTCATATACCTTATTGGAGTATTTTCTGTGCCCAAATGAGCTGAACCGGCTTGATAATGAGCCAAAAAAGGCAGTAATTCGGCTCAAAAATTTTCTGATCCTTTCGAATATGTGGGAGAGGCAAGGATAAACTAAGGACTGAACTCTCTGTCGATTTGAAGTTGTTCCGATGCTCGATTCAGTTTCAATTTGAATTCTGGTTTAAACCAGGTCTGGTCCGGTTCAACTTGGCTTGGTTCAACATTATAAAAGAGCTCTTTTTCCCCCTCTTTTCCTCCTCTAGGGCCGGCCCCCTTCTCCTCCTCTTTCTTGGATTCCTCTTCCCTCTTGCATTCTCTTTCCTTTCCCTCAATTCTTCATAAATACCCTAGATCCATCCTTCCTTTAGATCTCTGATTGAGAAATCCCTCAAAAATCTCCATATAAAAATTCCTCTCAGGCCCCTCGAGCACGTGGTCTGAGCCTCTTTCAAGCTTTGATTTTTGTCGGGTCTTCGAGCTTTCCCTCAGGTAAATCCTCCATAATTTTGGCTTTTTTTTAGTACATGAATTTATGAGGTTGCATATGAGGGTTAGGATTATGATTTGGCGCCTCGAGCTCCTTTTTCAGGGGGTAGAATTGCAATAAAAAGAGGAACTTTTTTCTGGATTTGATCCCTTAATTTATTTTGCAGGTCACCATGTCTCATATTGCGAGGGGTCAATCCTCTACTGCGTCGGCTGATGATGCGCCTCCCTCTTATGCTGGTGATCTACTTTTGGAATTTTAAAAAATTAGTCCATTTTTTTTCTTGGCAATCTGCAAATTGATCCTTTTTTACTCCACGTTGTGCTTTGCTCGGTCAAAACCATACCTCAAAATAAAAGGGGCGTTTTGACGTTGTATTGTGCCTTATATGGCAGGGATATATTGTCGATATACCCTATCTTATGAATGCACAATATGGCCAAATCGTCTCATCTTTTATAAGGCAATGAATCTATCTTACCCATTCGTAAGATGAGTTCAATTTCCTTTTATAACTGGCATTAACAAACGTTTCATTGTTTGTTTTCAGTTGAGCATCCTTCCGGAGCATTTTCATCTCATGAGGTGAACGGACGTCGTGGGGATGTTTTATCTTCGGTTTCCACCAGGCAGGCTATCGGTCCACTTCCTCGGTCGAGTCCCGAAATCATCCTAATATTCGACGATGAAGGGGAAGAGGGTCCCATTGCTGCAATTATGTCTGACCAAGAATCTGTCTTCCTAGTCTCCGAATCCTTGCAGGACATCCTCCAAAAAGTAGAGAAGGTTATACAGCAAACGCTCACCGCCATTAGTTCTGGACGGGGAAGACATTATGATTTGCTCCTTTTCATAACAGATAGTCTTAAAGACATTCAGCGTGTAGGTGGTATCCGGCTAGCTGGACAATGTGAGATAAGGTTGACCTGCTTAGAGGAACTCATACATCTTTTGGAAGAGCTAGTAGACTTCGACCCGCATGATGAGGCCACGCCGCTTATGATCGATGCTCAGACTCAGAGGGTGCGAGAGCGTAAGGCCCGAGCTAGACGCATATCGGAGCAAGAAGTCATCGTTGCGAACTTGTACGAACGGCAACGTCGTTTGCAGAGTAAGATGGATGCTTATAACAACATTGCTGATAGGACGGGGATCAGGACCGTCCAAGGGGAGAGGACTCTAAAAGATTTTGAGCTCGAGAGCGCTAGGGTTCAAAATGTTTACAGAGGAGAGATGGAGGTTCTTCACGCGTTGCGCCGAGAAGACGTAACCGCTGATGCTGCCGCTATTCTTGCTTATACCAAGCTTCAAAAGGAAGAAGAGGAGAGGGTTCGAGTGGAACACGCCGAGAAACTTGCCGCTGTTAAGGCTAAGATTGCTTCCTTCAGTTTGTTAGATCTGATTTGAGATGTCTTCTTGTATCTGCACTTGGTTTGACTTTGTTTGCTGAATGTTTTGACTTTTGATCTTTTTAGTGGAACTGGTTTTTATCCTTATTTTTATTATGATCCCTCATTCCGTTTGAAATGATTGACCATAATATTTTTTAGGATTTTTGGCAAACCCTCAGCCATCAACGGATTTGATTAACCTTTACCGATTACCATTTGAATCGGGCTAGCATGCGGATTGTCTAAACCCGTTCCGCATGTAACGTTGTGCTAAGAGAGTGAATTCTCTGAGACTTTGTGCTATGATATTGAATACATAGACTTCGCCATTGTTACGGGAATAGGCTACCCGGCGACACGTGTTAGGTGTTGGCTTTAGGATTTTTGGCTAACCCCCAGCCCTTAACGGGTTTAATTAGCCTTTACCGACTACCGTTTTGAGTCGGGCTAGCATGCGAATTGTCTAAATCCGTCCCGCATGTAACGTTGTGCTAAAGGAATGAACTCCCTTAGACTTGATGCTACGGCTCCGAATACGTAGACTTCGTCTTTCTCACGGGAATAGACTACCCGGCAACGTGTTTTAGACGTTGACTTATCCCTACTTAGGCTTCGGGATAAAATTCCCCAGAATCGAACTCTGGTGTCTTTTTCTTCGGAGAAAGACTAAACCGGCGGCGCGTGTTAGGCGTCGGCATATCCTTTCTTAGGATTCAGGATGAAATTCCCCACGCGTGTAAGGCATGGATTTTGGTGTTATTAATAATAACCTGCGACAATATTGAATATGTGAACGGGTGTTCTTTTTGACGGTTAAGAACTAACCGGCAGCGCGGGTTAAGCGCAGACTTATCCTTGCTTAGGTTTCATGATAGAATACCCCAGAATCGAACTCTGGTATTTTTTTCTACGGAAAAAGACTAAACCGGCAGCGCGTGTTAGGCGCAGACTTATCCCTGCTTAGGATTCGGGATAAACTTCCTAGGATGAATCCTAAATTGACAAATTTTGGAAAAGATCGGTACGGGAAAGGAAAAATTTTATATTCTATTTCCCGGTCTTCTTTTAGGGTGAAGGCGAACCCGGAAAACAAGGAAGGAAGAATTTTATATTCTATTCCTTGATTCTGGAAAGGAAGAATTTTATATTCTATTTCCAGCGCAAAAGAAACTAGAAGTGGGATCTCCACTCCGAGAATCTGGAAAATCTAGATAAACCTGCCTTTTATAGGATTGGTTATCTAAACTGAGAAAAAGAATTCTTCGTTTATCGAAGTGAAATTTCAGCTTTGGTCATAGCCATAAGAGGGCTTAACCAAAGGGAAGGAGAAGGGAGTTCTTTCGTTTATCGAAAGGGGACTCCGAAATGAAAGTGGACCTCTTGTTCATGGAAAGAGTCAAGAGGGCCGGAAAGACATCTTTAGTGGACCCACTATCAATTGAAATTGATCAGTGAGTGATTTTGGTGGTGAAAAAGATTTTGGGTTATTCTCTAGAATATTAAGTGTAATATTCTTCAAGGAACTTCCCGGTAAATGGGTTATCCTGAATATACCTGGTGCCTTCTCGAGTAATCAGGCGATATGCACCGTTTGAGTAGACTGTGTCTATCACAAACGGTCCTTCCCACTTGGGTT